CAATTGTGGACGGACGTCCGGACAGACGGACGGACAAGGGCGACGACAATATACGTCCACATGAAAATGTGGGCGTATAAAAATGCCATATTTTCTCTATGACCACCCCTCTCTAACAAAAGGGTCACAGAATACACAATTTTCACAAATTTAGGAATAATTCAATGTTTTCAACATCTCAAAGCTCAGAGGGATCATACAAATCTTTATTGCTATTCTTGTGCTGAAGCAAGATGTCTGGAACTTTACATCAATTTCCTGAAAAAATGAAGTCAAAAAAGTAATTATGACAGAGTTGACAACATAAAGGAGGCCTGAAAAGGAGCAAAATTAACATTTTACTGTTCTATAAGTAACATAAATGCAACAAATACCACACATCCTAGATTTTGATAAGAAAATAATGAACATTAATCTGACATTTACACATCTACCCCAGTTTTATATCAGGGTGTAGTCCCATTGGTTTGAAATTTCTCAGGGTTCTAAGTTTGTCTTTAAACAAAAAGGTTTCAAAATCCTTGAAATGTACAAAATAACCATTTATTGGCGAAAAATAACATTCCTAACCGTTATTCAACCACAAATTCCAATAACAGTCATTTAAATGTCAACACAGGTAAGTGATATGTAGCTACGTCCATACAATTGTGATACGGCTACTGGTTTACTTATTAGGAAAATTTGTCGCTTTTAGACAAGAGTTCTCAAAATGGCGTCGTTCGAAGATTGTGTAGAATTTTCATTGCAAAGGTGTTCTTTGTTTAAAGAAAATCTCATAAACTTGAAAAGAAACAGCGGCTGCCAGGCAGGAGACGCCCACATTTTGCAAGAGATGGATAGAGAACAAACTAAAAACAAACGGGATTTATTTGTACAATAAGGGGCAATAATCCAGAAAGTTATGTTTTGAAAAACGCCAATATCAACAGGGGCTGAGATTTTTGGGATATAAAGATATGTTTTAAGTTTCATCAGAATCGGATAAAAATTGTGACCTCTAGAGGGTCGACCACCTTCGTATTGCATAGTTTTACACAATTTGCGTACAATGAGTGGCCATTTTGTCGTGCAGTTTCATTTCGATTTTCCCGAAATTCGAAAAAATTGTGACCTCTAGAGAATCCGTAAGCTAAAAATGCCATTTTTCGAACAGTCAGGGGCCATAATCCAGGAAGTTAAGTTCGGGTATCCGCGATTATTCACACATTTTTTTTAAAATCAGATAAAAATTGTGACCTTTAGAGGGACCTCAAGCTAACAACGCGACTTTTCGTACAATCAGGGGCCAAAATTCTGGAAGTTACTATCCGATATGCGCGAATATCGAAAGGAACCAAGATCATTGGGTTATAAACTTACACTTCAAGTTTTATCAAAATCAAAAGAAAGTTGTGACCTCTAGAGGGTCCACAACATTGATATACCATATTTTTACGCTATTTGACTACGTGGCGTGGCCATTTGGGTGTAATGGTGATATATTTAAACGTTCTTTTTAAATCGGATAAGAATTATGACCGCTATGGGATAAACAAGCTAAAAACGCGATTTTTCGTACAACCAGAGGCCATAATTCAGGAAGTTACGGTCCGATATGCGCGGATATCGCAAGGAACTGAGATCTTTGGGTTATAAACTTACATTTCAAGTTTCAACAACATCGGATAAATATTGTGACCTCTATAGGGTCCACAACTTTGATATACAATATTTTTACGCTATTTGAGAACGATGGGCGGCCATTTTGTCAATCAGTTGTGGTCCGATTTTCACGAAATTCGAACTCAGCCATCCTTAGGGTATAACGGTGATATACTAAAATCAGATAAAAATTACGACCTCTATAGGGTCCACAACCTTGATATACCATATTTTTTACGCTATTTGAGAACGATGGGCGGCCATTTTGTTTGTCAGTCAGTTTTGGTCCGATTTTCACGAAATTCGAACTCAGCCATCCTTACGGTGTAACGGTGATATACTAAAATGTTTTTTTTTAAATCGGATAAAAATTATGACCTCTATACGGTCCACAAGCTAAAAATGCGATTTTTCGTACAGTCAAGGGCCATAATTCGGGAAGTTATGGTCCAATATGCGCGAATATGGAAAGGAATCGAGATTTGTAGTTTATAAACATATATTTCAAGTTTAAACCAAATCGGATAAAAATTGTGACCTCTACCAGTGTTCACAAGCTAAAAACGTGATTGTTCGTACAATCAAGGGCCATAATCCATGAAGTTACTGTGCGATACATGCCAATATCGAACGGAAACGAGATCTTAGGGTGATAAACCTACATGTCAAGTTTCTTTGAAATCGGATAAAAATTGTGACCTCTAGATTGTTCACAAACAATTGTAGACGGACGGACGGACATGAAAGTTTTGTATGATGTACACGGTTTGAGATAACACTCCATTTTTAATCTGGGAACTTGAAAGTAGTTCCAATAGCGGAATTCGTCATACAGCCGAGATTAGATGTAGGTGTGTCGACTGGTTGATTATCCATTAAATTTCGACAAGCGACCCAGACCCGCCGTACGTTAGAGACTACGTAAAAAAATTGTAAAACAACACATTTTATGAGAAAGGTGTCACGGTCGTGTGCTTTATCCATTATCGTCAGATGGTGGGATGGGTGGGCATTCTACGCTCGAGATAATTATATAGGCGTATGTGATATCACAATTAATGCTTTGCATTAATGAAATTTAATCACAATGTCATCGTATTATTTAATAATAAAAATTGACGTCAAACGGGGTGATGGATTTCTCTCTTTAAAAAGCTCAATGTGTGTGTATATATATATATACGCCAAACCCAGTATTTCTCAAAACATTTCAAGGCAGAGGGAGTGGGAGAGAATTGCCTCGGATCCCCCACCCCCTCCCCACAACCAAAGATAACTTATCTTAGGTGCCCCTCTTTGAAAAAAGTCATGGATCCGCCCCTTTTTCCATTAACGTTTTCACTTAAGTATACTACGCATGGCTGTCTTAGTAAATCTCGTTATTTAGTTTGCTGTTAAACTCTCGACCGCGAAACTTGAAAATGGCTACCTCGAATGACGGTATTGCGAATTTTAAAAATAATATTGGTTGACCCTCGCGGTCTCGTTGGATAACTAACAAAACAGTTATTAATATATTTTATGCATGACAACTTTTACATATTGTATTTACCATAAACAAATATTTATGAATCAATGCTTACTGAACTAACATGTAAAATGGCTTAATAAATCAATTTACATAAACAATAGTGTATTGATTTTATGTGGAGTGATAATAAATGTCGCACAGGTTATTTGATTTAATATCTAGATTCGATATCTTACATTTCCAATTACTTCATCATCTGTTACATTAAAATAATTATTGATTTGTTATCGTGATCTGACATTTAATAAAGTATTATTTAACTAAATAAATATGCACAAAGGTGGATTCATTCAAAAAATGAAATTAATTTCTCGGTAAGTAAATCTCTTGGGCAACTGAAAATATTGAACATCTCTATGATGTAAATATTTCAAAATTGTATTTGTTTATTGTTAATGTTTATGGATTTTCGCTTCGTCGGTTTTATAAATATAGGTGACGAGAAAAATCTATTTAAGGAATAATTCTTCGGAATTAAAGTTTTAATTTGCATAAAGGATGTTAACAGCCTACACCAAAAACAAAATTGAATCACTTGTCATGAGTAGGGATATGATTATGTCACTGGGGTGATCAAAATGTTTGTAGCAACTGGAATCGAGATGTTTTCAGTGTAATTGCATGCAGAAAAGAATAATAAAGCAACCCGAATGTAAGAAAATAAAGCAATTTATAAACGAATCATGATTTTTACTACAAGAACATTTTTCATATTATTTCGTAGGTGTTTTTTACATCAAATATGGTTTATATAGATTATTAAAAATTGAAATATAAAACCCTATTAATAACTGGCATGTTTGTTAAGGAGAAATAGCAGTGAAGTTATGATTGTGGGAGGATCTTCGCCACACGAAGCACTGCAGTTGTCGATATAAAGAATGGTGCCAGAATAATACAACAGTGCATTACAAACAATTATTACCGATATGCTGCCATCTACGAATTGCTAAAATCATGACAACTTAGTAGCATGGCCTCCACGGATACTATTTTCCGTTTCTTTATTTAGTTATTAAATATTTATTTTTGTTAGATCAATGATACATTGTTTTTTAAGTAAATATCACATAGAGTTCTATTATTTTCATTATTTATTTTCATAGCCCAGACACTGATGTTATAAGTACTGAACAATGATGGAAAACACCTTTACGACAAACTAATAGAAATTGTGCATAGAAATTGTGCACAAAGTGTAACATTTATCAAGCCGTGTCTTCCACGGTTGAGCCCAGTGGCAATGCTGCGTATCACAAGTTCTGGGAAGAGTACGCGTATATTCTCTCCTCCGCGACATTAACGTCAGCATTACAGCCATTTAATGACTTTATATTGATCGTAAATATTTGATATACAAAATAACATAATTCAACTATGTCGATATATATGAGTTTTAGGGTATTTTGTTTTTAATAAGTGGCATTACTCTGGGATATGGTGCATTGCAATGAACATGTATGATGTCTGGTGAAAAAAGACGCTATTACAAATGAGAAATATATACAAAATCAGAACAAAGGTACGGTCACAAGTCAGTAACCAGCATTGGACTTTTCCTCTGAAAGTCAAGTTCGGGGTCATCATCGTCATATGACATTGATGTTAGTGTATGGAAGGCGTGTATAGCCATCCTGTTTACACGATGTTCACGTTCAACACGTTTATCCGGCATACCACGGAAAAAGCTATCCAAGGCTGCTTCTTCTTCGAGTTCTTTTTTCTCAGTTTTAAGGTACTGTACAATCATAACTAACACACCAAAAGAATAAAACACAAGCACCGCAATAATGTACACAACGGCACCCCTGTCGGTCTCGTTGTGTTCAGAAGACGTAGAATTTGTATTATCTCCAGTTAATATTGCTGGAATAGTTTCACAATTTGGTCTTAAAGCTGTTAAAATTAATTGTCCTGATGTTGTATTATTCGTCATTGTCACTACCATCTATAATATTTTTACATTTTAATTAAACCGTTTCCGAGCAATACGCACACACGTGTATATTCACCAAGGGTTTTTCTGCTGATTAACAAAACACACATTGATTAAAAAAACAATTACCTTTCAGTTTCATCGGGAAACAAGACACATAATAAACATATTTCAAAGACTTATCACCTTAATCAATACAAATCCACGTCTGTAAACAAAAGTTACATTCAACATCCTTCCCGTAGGCTAATGTTCTGTGTAAAATTCATCAGGGCCGTCTATCTACATGCACTGTACATAATAGACATAACCGGTATAAACCCATGCAACGATTTGTGAACAATGACTCGAAGACTTAAATTTCAATGGTTAATTTTACAAAAATCTGATCGATACGACAGCATTGTCAATAGGCATCTTTTATTAGTCTTTCCGGAGTTGCTTCGTCGGCTTGGTAATTCATTCTGAAAAAAAATAATTTAACAATATTCAAGTGATTTGAAAACAATGCAATAAAATAAGAAGACTAATTCTAATCTAAATAAAAACTCGCTGGTAGATACAAATCGATAACATTGTAACATGTAAATGAACTTTCATTCTGTCATGTAAATCAATTGGGAATCACTACACATTACTAACGAAAAGATTAAGATAATGTCTGTAAGCACAGTTCACATTTCTTAATCCCAACAGTGCCCGGGGAAATTGTTTTTAAAAATACACACAGGCTTATCAGATTCTAATAACGACTACTAAAGGGGTTATATTATGTAAATCACTGTAACGTGATATTGGGATAAAATTTGATACAATTAATATGTATACTTCTCATCTATTAGACAATCTATTTTACCCGCAGTGTTATTAAAAATTTATATGCAAACTATCTTGTTATATGCAAACTGTTCTTTGTTTCTGGTGGTCTGTCTGAACAGATCATAGTCAGATCATGAACTAAATTAAACTCTGGTAGACATCATACTTAGATTCGCTTGAGAATAACATTAACTCTGTATCCTCACGTTAGGTGTGAAATATATGTATTATAATTCTCGGACAATTTAGTCGAACTGCCAAGGTATATATTTCACACCCTAGCCTGTCAAGGAAAGTATACTCGGAACTCGGAATGTCCTCAGTGTAATACAACAACATTCCTTCAATATGACCATATTAACCAATTTGATTAATATCCGATGCATATTTGTTTCGTTTTATATTCCAAATTTTATATGTAACCGGACGAAATTTTCCTTTACAATTGTATCGCGTTATTACTGTAAATAGCCAATGAAAGCACAACATTTCCAGTCACACCAAATTGTCATTCACTGATCTATTTATAAACTCGACAGAGTCTTGTCCGTAACAAACCAACGTAAGCCGTTTTGAATACATGTTAGACCATCCGTAATATAGAAAATCAGAATCATAAAGAATAAGCGAAATAAAGATATAACTTTAATTATATCGCACATTAACTTCAACGCAAAATCTGCACCAGAACCACTGCCCCAATTAGCTGTAAACAATCACGGTTGTAATGCACTAGATGGAGTATGTTTAAACCATACATCCCTTCCTCTGGTTTTTTTTTTTTGGGGGGGGGGCACATACCTTAAACTGTTACTTTTGCAGATAATTTGGCTGCTCGCTGCCAGTGGTTGGTCGCCACAGGATTGCTTTGTACCGAGTAGATTCGACTTCTGAAATCAAAGACCGAAATTGTCACTCCCTATTAGTAAACGTATCCTTACTCATTCTAGAAAACCTGATATGACTTCTCATTTCTTCTGGAAATTCACACAGCTAACAATTTTTGCTTCACTCCACAATATAAAACTATTACTATAAGTCACCATAACAAACCTCTCTTCTATAGTGATTAACTGACAATTGATGGAATAATTGTGTTAAGGTTTACTAGAGTCAACCATCCCAGAAGAGATAAAGTAAACGGGAAATTAAACTGCTTTCAACTATTGATTTTAGAAGATCTACATATGGTTGAAAATCAACTCACTAATCAACCCCTCTTCACGACAACTTTAAAAAAACACACTCACGGGACAAACGCGTTAAGTTGATATTAGATTCCACATTATAGGTTCAAGGAAAAGTCACTTCAATCAAATGTTTCCGCTGAAGAACAACAGCTGAACAAAATTAATACAAGAACATCCACTGGGTTCACCATAACGTCCGTAAAACCTCGTATTGTTAATCATGTCCATCGACAGGTATAAATAGATCTTGAATTCTGACATGTCTGCACCGATTAACACTGGTACTTTTGTATTAACCCAACTTAAGTGTAGTAGTGGCGGGTCGGTGCGCTTGACAGAATATGCTACCCTTTCGAAACACCGGACATTAAATTACCATGGCAACGCTAGTTATTTTGACGCGTTGCCCGGGTCAACCTAATATTACATTAATTTGTATGAATGGAATTTAAATTGAATGATTATACTAGGTTTTATTATTATTTCATAGTCCTCAATTAAATATAAATACACAATGTCTCGAGTATACCTTAAGAAAACGTTTGTCCCATTATAGCTTTTCAATAATGAGGCGTCATTTTACGATTTTATCAATAACTATATTGTTTGATTTATTGACAGTAATATAATAGAGACATAATTAAACTGATTCGATTACCGTGTAATATTATCACGCAATGAGATATGTGTTAATAATTTAATGCTTGAGATTCATAACGAACATTATTGTAATGTACCTACATGTTATATGGATGTCGAATAATTTATCGAGTATAATCGACACAGGGCCAGACTGGGGGTCGGAGGACCCTGATATATTTTTTGATATTTCTAGCCTATGCACAGCATACCCGTAGCTACACCCTTCCCCACGCCCCAACCAGCGGAAAAAATCGGCGCCCCGAATAGAGGGGGGGGGGGTACGTTATAATGACGATATATGATTGTCGGGCCGCACATAATGTATAATGAGATTGGTTGAGCGCCCAAAACGGCATGATTGGTGAGGTGCCTCATACCGGATGGCGCCCATAATGCCGAGATTGGTGAGTCGCCCACGACGAAATCTACCCAAAGAAAGTCAACTGGAGATTGTAGGAAATTTTCAGGTCTAATTCACAATGGAAATGAGATTGATTCAAGTCCGCACCAGGCGTGATAATCTTCTCATAAATTATTACAGGTACGCTAAAGTCGTATCCCTTCCTTCATATTTTTATAATGTTTATATCATAATATCGCAAATTCAGCCTCAAAATTGAAATTTTCCAAAATTTTCTGATGGGAGAGAACCCTAGACCCTTCTCCGAAGGAAGGTGCGTCCACGGCGCTTGGACCGTCAAGTGTAGGTACATCGGCGCCTCTATAAAACAGCAATTTTACTATTTGGATAGCATCTTGATAAAATAGCAGTTCTAAGACGGCGTTGGGCTGAGTATTAGTTATGGATATGTTATACTCACAAAACGGTTGCATAGTAAGCAGGGTGATGTGTGTAAATGGGGGAAGACATGCTTTATTTTTAAAATCCGTTTTGTCCCGAATCTGTTTCCTCTCTTCACTCATCGCTCGCGATTACAATGAAATCGTGGTCCTTTTTTGTAGATTTAAATTACTGTATGTCAAACATTTTCGCCTTCACTGTTTGTCTTTCTTATATTATATTGTTTTCAAGCAAATAAAACTTCTTTTGAGATCTGACGCGAGTATGGTAGATGTTTGTCTTCGCGGCAAATGTCGATAGTCCTATCCTTGAGAGAATCACAAGAGATGAGAACCATGGTTAAGTAACCAGGGATCCCTGTTAAGGCTAACTATACTATCTTAGCTTTCAGCGTCCTAACAACTGTAATCTCAGAGCGAGAAAGAACACGCAAACTAGGTCATTTCGAGACTAACATGTACAATTCTATTTCAATAATTCACTTGCGCTTAGGGGTCTGTAGCAGTGGGTGGAAACCCCAATATCCGACGAGAACCCGCGGGGTTGGGCGGGCGACCCGCCCCCCTCAATGAAAGGCCTTATGATCTGAAGCACCCTCTGGGCCACTCGGTAAAATATGAGGAAAAGGAAAGGAATTGCGTTGAACGTCTCACCAACATTTTGGTTTAGCTGCATTGCAACTGATATCGAATTTGGTGTGTTCATCAATGACGCGTTAGATGCCCTGGTATATTAAAGTCTTGTATGTCAGATCAATCTTGAGTTCTTTTATGGGTAATTAGTTCTCTGTTTTACCGTTTGTCTGGCTTAACAACTTGGAACTCTCATGTTCGCTGAAAAAGACGTGGAACAGGGATAAATGAGTCGATAGTCTTTTTACCCATAAACATCCTTGAAAAGAAAACCTTGATCTGTTTATAGCCAGGCGTGAGGTATTATACTTTTCCTTGACAATTATCAGACTTCATATTTTCTAGAATGCTATCGTGATCATAAATTATTAATCTTCTTGATCTCACAGTTGTATTTTTTCTCTGTATCAGCTTGTTTTTTTTATTCGTGGTATAATTTGAAAAGACACGAAAATATAACGCAACATACGTATTAGTATTATACGCAAAAATCCCTACTTCGTGCGGACATAGACGATGGAATTTGCGAACACATACAGAAAATTATGTCGTTTACTTACAATTCGACATAAAGATTAAAATGACCTCCTTGGTTTAACCAGGAATTGTTAAGTACAGAATAAACCCCAAACCATACATTTAGAAAAAACGCGTCTGAAAATATAATTGAATCCCTAGATTGAGGGTTATTCTATCTGTACGTAATTAACCCTCAAGAGCAAAGGAAATTGCCTCCATCGGTTTATATTATATATATTTGAATAAATGACGCAATATTCAAGGATTTACTTAGATTTGACGGATTATAAAGCCTAATGTAAGCAAGGGTTACCTTTAAATATAACTGACTGTCCTCAATAGCTGGAAAATTGTGTATTAAAATTCAGTGTTTCGTCATTATTCTATTAGTAGAGTGTAGCTAATACATGTACTGCATTTATGGTTATTAAGAGTTTTCTCTGAATTTAGCGTCCACTGAACACAAAATAAGTTATTGTTTTGGACTAATAGCAAACAAATGAATACCACACTTCAAGCAAAATAATCCCTGCGGACAAGTCAAATAGTCGGGGCAAGTTAATCTCAAAAGTAAGTGGAGTGTCCCCAAACAAATTTCAAAAGAAACCAATGCAGTTTGGTTCAATCAGCTTATATTAGCATCTTACTCAAATTCGGCCGAAGTCTGCCAAGGCGAAATGACGTAATTAACATAATTCAATATGGTGATCTCGAGGAAGTTTCTGACAGTGATATCTCGTAACCAGTGCGTTTCAGTGGTGGGACAATAAATATACTTTTATTAAAATCTTACAATACATAGTGGTAATAGAGGGGAAATGTCTCGAATATAACATGTTTGACCAAACCAATTTAAAAAAAATATTGGTAATAAAATGGCATAGACATTCTGAGAGAGAGAGAGAGAGAGAGGGGGGAAGCATTGGGGCAATGAAAGGACGAACCCGATCGTTATTCGGCGCAGCTTGACTCCGTTAACAGATCTTTTTTTTCCAATTTGGGGATGAGAGGACGAAACCTGTCGATACTCGACGTTCCTGAGTCCCCCCCCTCCCATTGCAATAACAAACTCATGAACGCGATAGAGGCTTTAGCTTTTAAATGATCTTTTTCAAATGTGTGATGAACCCTATCGATATTATTTGTTGCATGCCCTTAGCTTTTGGAGTTTTCCCCCACCCCCTTTTTCCGACAACATTGTAAACACGATAGAGGGTACAGTTATTAACTTCGGTTTTCTTTTTCAAATCTGGTGTAAATCATTGGAATCATGAAAGGGTGGACCCTATCGATATTCTGAACCCTGTGAGTGCGATAGCTGCTAGTTTCGACATAATATTTGATTTTAATTTGGTGTAATGCATTGGGGCCATGAGTTGACAAAACATCGATATTCAGCCATGGTGGCTCATTGAATAAGAAATTAAATGAAATGGGGTTTAACGTCCTACTGTTCTGCTCCATCGTGGTTCCACAAGGCAATGCACTGATCTCGTGACAGCCAATTCTTTTTTTTTTACAAATAATTGGCTTCGAACTGATATCCTCTTATAATCTCATATAACCTTTCGTCTTCCAAGGGATGCATCAGTGAGCTGAATATCGTATGTGCGGCTGTTATCGGACGGTACGGATAATCAACCGCCGCAAAGATCTCTGCGTTAAAATTATTTTTCAAATATGTTTATCCAGTTCTTTCACATGTAATGTTGGTGGATACCTGTCCCCAACATTGTCCTTTACGAAGTACTTGACTCCACTTTACCATGGGGACGCCAGTTACTTTTTATTTTTTTGGACTTTTATGCTTCGAGATCGGTGGTACTATATTTCCTTTAAATAACAACTACTTTTGTGAAAGGTCGAAGCTCCATAGCTATGCGCTTACAGACAGTTACATAGGTCGGAAACCAAACAGTGCCGGACTGGGCCCACCTGTCCACCTCATTAAAAAAAGTGGGCCTATATGCCTATAAAGGAAAAAGAAAAGAGAAAAAAAGGAGAGGAGAGGAAAGAAAAGAAAGAAGGAAGGAAAGTACAAAAAACAGGACAGGAGAAAGAAAAGATCGGGAAAAAATGACTGACAAATAACACAAACCAGCGGC